TATATATATTAAAATATATATTATACGTGTGTGTATGTTTGTGTGTATGTGTGTGTATATGTGTTTGTGTGTGTGTGTATAAAGTTGTACATTACATAGTATAGTGGTTTTATTGTCTCTGCCTTTGTGCTTTGAGGTAACTTCTATTTGTATACATGTACAGATAAACGTTTAATTTTTTTTTCTTTCCTCCCTACTCCAGATGCAGTGGGAGGAAGGCTGGTGGGGCGACAGGGGACCCCCAGTGGCGCCAAAAACAGACCAATCAGCTGACAGCGTACTCCAAAACGGAACCAAACCGCTGACTAATGGAGTGAGTTTGGGCAACGGTCACTCTGAGCACGCCGTACCCGAGGTCCTCTACGCTCTGAAGCACTCTCAGAAGTCGTCTCTAGCGCCTGCCGCTGTGGAAAATGGCTTCACGCCCGTTGACCAGGAAGCAGCAGATGTTGCTCATCAGAAACTATCGAATGGATCTGCGAAGGTCTCAAAAGAAACGAATTCGAGCGATGACGCTTCGGGGAGTTTCGAATTTGATTGGGAGGATGAAAAACTGTCCAAGCCTAAAATTAAAAGTGCCTTTACGAAATTCCAGCAACAGAAAGCTTTGTTGACTAAAGGCGAATCGCATTCAGACGCAATGCAGTCGGTCCTTTTGTCAGAGGACGGATTAGTTCCTGAACCTAGGGCCAAATCGAAACTACGTTTACCCAGCAAACGGTTCGCAAACGTCGACCACATTCCAAAAAGCAAAAGCTCCAACGAGCTTGACAATCTGAAACAGCAGTCTTTCCAAAATGGCCGCGGTCACGTCCGGTTGAAAAACGACGTCGACGCTCAGGGAACGGAGTCACAGCAGCAACAACAGCAACAGCAGGGACAGCAGGAGGAACAACAGCAGTTGAAGCAGCAACAGCAGCAGCAGCAACAGCCGAAAAAGCCGTGGCTGAAACAGCAGAACGGACAGGCCAAGAGCAACTCTCAGTACTCGGCTGTCCAGAATGGCGGTCATTCTATATCGGGCTTCCAATCCCAGGGTTATGGCGACCAAAGCGGCATCGCGGAGTATGAGAAAAGCAGTATGGGGGCTCAGGCAGGTAAGGAGAACCAGAAAGGACTTTGCTCTTTCCCTGGGTTGCTACGAGTTATTAAATTATTATAATATGTAGGTTGTCGGCCAGCTGTTCAAATCATGTAAAAAGTAAAGTTGTTCCTGCATCCGATCCGGACATTGGGGATTGCCTTGTTAGTGAGACAACTTCCTGGACCGTCGGCATATTGTAGTAGGGAGGCCAGTTCCTTTCCACAAAGCCTTTACTTCACCAACTCGAAGTGGGGTACACATTACTGCTGGGTGGGCAGGAAGGGGCGAAAAAAATCCGTGTCCAAACCGAGGCTCGAACTCGGACTTTCCGCTTCGGAGACGAGCGCACTAACCACTCCGCCACCGCACCCTCAGGTTCAAATCATGTACAAAGCCCAAATTTGGATTTTCTTTTGAATTGCAGGCTCTTAATCTATGGTATTTGTTGTATATTTCAAATTCCAAATTTTGCATAAAAGCATCAAAAAAATGTGTAGGTACTTTTGTTTTTTAAAATGAAACAGTTTTGTTCTTTTTCTGTCTTCTGAAGAAAACAAATTGAGCTGGGTACATTGTGAATAGCTTGCCGGCGATATGCTGTTCAGAAAGGAAAGTTGAAGACTTGTATTTCACAATGCTAGTCAAAGTGATGTTTCAGCAAAGACAACGAATACAATAGCATGAAATAACATACATTATCAGTGAAAATATTTCCTTGGTTTTATCTTAATTTTTAAAACTGACCTATCGTCTGACGTTGAACATAATTCCATTTTCGGCAGGTCCGATGATTTGTAGTGGGGTGAACAATCGGACCTACCCTGGACGATCACGACATATTGTCGAGGAGAAAAGTAGTCATCTTAGACAGGTGGTCCTTTTGGACAGTAAAATGTCATCATAATAAAGAAGAAAAACACAAAAGCGGAGTGCCAAGTGGTTGTTTCTATAGCTTAATGTCTTGGACAGGTGGTAGTTAGAGCAGGCTCGGTTCGACTGTAGATAGTTTTATAGACACGAGCATTTCTATTCTATTTTGGCTCGTTACCAGGGACACAATACGTTTTTATGGAAGTTTTTTTATTCTAAGGACTAAGGACTTTACATTTCATATTCAAATTACGAGGAATCAGAACAAGAGTAATTTTAATAATACAGAATATGTATGCGTTCAAAAATTGATATATCTGAGCTCAACACTGGTAAAAAAAAAAACCGCCTGCCCCTTAATTTGCAACCACTTTGTCAATGTGGAACATAGTTGTTTGTTATGCTAAAACTGTAAGAAGTTTACAGTTGAGAAAAGCAAGGGAAAAAAAAACCCTTATGTAGGTACAATTTTCTTGTTAAACGTGTTTTTTTCCTGTCTCCTTAAAAAAATTCCTTTTTGGGTTTGTCTCCTTAAAAGATTTCCTTTTTTGGCTTTAGTACATTATTTGGATAGCTTGCCTACGATATGCTGTTCCTAAAGGAAAGCGTAAGACTCATATTTGTTTTTAACAATGCTAATCAAAGTGATGTTTCAGCACCGACACAAGTTCGATCATTTAGAGGTCGGCGTCTTCGACCCTGCGTGTACGGTGGCCGATGAGATACCAAATCTCAGCAAACAGACTGAGACGCTTAATTTATAAAACAAAAAAAAACCCATCCCACTCGAGAATCAAACTCACGTCTTCTGCGTGCACCGCCGAAGAGTTTGCTGTTAAACCTGTGGCGTCGGTGGCCTAGTGGTTAGCCTACCGACTCGTGATCGTGAGGTTGCGGGTTCGGGGTTTCGAGCCGCGGGCCCGACGTTGTGTCCTTGGGAAAGGCACTTTACACGAATTTTCCCCACTTCACCCAGGTGGGAATGGGTGCCCGGCCAAAGACAACGAAAGATCTTGTCAGTATGTTAGTGTTTTTTAGCTCCTATAATGGCGGCTTGCACTGTATGCTTCCCAGAAAGTTGATGATGTTTCAGAACGCTCTCAGGTCTGCTGGGGTTATAGTACAGATTGTGAAGCGCATAGAGCTTGCTGTTGAGCAAGGATTTGCGCTATACAAATGTTATCTATTATTAATATTATTATTAAACCTCAGACGCCAGAAAAACACGAAAGAAGAGCTTAACAAGCTAGAACCCAACAATAACGATGCATTTCCACTCCGTCTGATAACTTTTTGACCCTGGATATGTACTTTTTATCTATGTCTATATCGTCACTGTCGCTAGCAATCCGCTTAAGTCCAAACTTTGAGAATTTTCGATTTTTACACCCTCCCAAAGATTTATCAAAGATGCACATTTCAACATCACCAAAAAGCGTGTCAATGATATGGGCAAAGCTTACAATCTTCTTGCTTTTTCTTGACTCTATAACGGAATAACACAATAAAAAAGTAGGTCTCGTTTTTGTTTTTGTTGGGTTGATTTTGTTGTTTGTTTGGGGGGGGGAGGAGTTGTTTTTGTTTGGTGGTTGTTTTTTGTTTTTTCTCTCGTGTAACAAATACATAAACGGACTTAAATGGATTGCCTGCGACACCGACGCTATGTCTGCGCACATGTTATGATAATTGTGTACAAAGTTCACCCAATGTCTGCTATGATTATGAGATAAGAGATTGTAACTTGCTCATGCTAACCGTAACTTACCACGTTACCGTTAAAGTGTAAAATACTTTGGCCCCCGAACGGAGACAGCCGTTGAAAAGAAGTGGTAAAAGGAAAAGAACTACGAATAATATGCTTCAGATAAA